GTTTATCCTGCCTGTCGTTGTCGCGTGACAATTACCAAGAATGCGACTGTCATCGTCAGAACATATTTGGCGTCTATGAATACAATTGGGAGTTGACGTACAACGCCTGCACCTTGGATTTCGCGAAACATGTAAGTATCTACTAAACTCTAAGTATTCTAGCATACTAATTTCTATAGGGAAGATACAATAAAGCGACTGGGCGTCGATTTTAAACTAGTTTCATATGTGTACGGTATCTTCTAACCTTCTTAGTGCGAACGTAGACCTTTCCATTGGATTGAAGGCAAAGACTGGATTGAATCTTGTAAAAAATTTGCTAGGGAGGGATACACTAGGGTCCAAGACGACGCTGACGGTATACCGGTATTCAACTATGACCTTCCTAAGGAAAAAACAGAACTCGATGCAAATTCTAGATGCCACTATGCGGAAGCATGGTCTTGATGGCAACATTGTGGTTTTTGAGGTGCACAGCTTACTGTTTCGCGCATCTTACTAGTCTCGCATGTTAAGTTACTTCTTTGATGCTCAGCAAGTCATGCTGTTCCTAATCTGACTTATTTATGCTGCATCCATCTTGTATTCGTGTCTGGTAAATACCGTGGTGATAGCCCGTATCGTCTTTGTTCCTAGGCCGATTGGCGACTACGGCGGCATGCGGCTCGTCGCGCACTTGTGAGAGGATTCGCCTGAGCTCGAGCACCTTTATCACAATCGCGAATTGCACCCTACGGTGGTGAGCGTTGACATTTCTTACGTGCAAGACTGACCGAAGAATTACCCTGCGCTGTCCTCACGTCTGCCCGGCAGATGCTCGTGGCTTCATTACCGCCGCCGATTGTGCGCTCTTCTCTGCTGCCGCGGCAAGGAAACGTCCGCAGACTCCTGAGAAGCGCAAGACCGACCGTGACTGACTTCAGGACTTTATTACTCCAAGCCGCCGAAATAGTGAATCCGCTGTTAAAGCTGACACTCCTTCGCCCGATGCTACTCCAATGAAGCGCGCCTGATCTTATCCGCTATCTCCCACTCTTCCAACGCCCCTCGCATCGCCCATAGGCTCGCTCCTCTCGCCGCTCAGTTCCGGGTTTTCTGCACAAGCCTGGCTCGAAACCGAGCGCCAGCGCTCAGGTCTAAGCCGCACATGGAATAAGGAGAATGAGTGGATGTGGCACGCTTGGAACGGCAAGACGCTGACGAGCGAGAAGGCGGCGCCGTGGCTTTAGAACCGTGGGGTTGAGATTATGCATGTCTGATATCGTACTAAAGGCTGTTACAAGAGTCCGTGAAGTTTTAGTTAGTACATCTGCTGTGTACGCTTGGCTGTATGCCTCTTGCCATCACCTGAGCTGCTGCCCACATTAACCACCAGGAGCGAATAACGATAGCGGGCTACGTTGACGAGTTTTGCAACGAGGACAAGTGTCGAAAAAGTCTGCTCAACCAGCATGCGGTCCAACACGCCATTGCGTCCAACTTAGTATTTAGTGATAAAATGGCAGATGTCGTTTGAGCATCCCCAATTTAACCCTCCCTGCCTTACTCAAACCTCCGCAGTTAAGGGCGAACAAATATGAAAACATAATTTATAGGATCTTAATCTAGGGCTGTTAGGTAGAGATGGTTGGGAATTATCTGTGTGGAATAGGTTAGTTCGTTTCTCTTCACTAAGTTGGTGAGTTGAATCTTCGGAGAGGCTAGGGTTAGAGGTTTAAGCAAGAGACATTGTGAAGATGTTGACGATAATAGATGGGTGGGTTGCTAATGTCATAAGGGTTCTTACGCTACCTACTAGCAGCGGGATCGGTGTCGGGGTTACTCTGCGCTATGGCACTTGATACTCCACACTTTTAGAGTTTTTGTCTTCGAGTGACACGATGCCATGTCATCAATTCTTTAGCAGAATGGCCCGTTCTGACAGACGCGCTAGTATGCGGGATATCGCAGTGCCAAATGCAACGCTTTTTTCCTTGCCACATCTCGCCGTTTCAACTGAAAAGCCAAGACCTCTACTTGCCTTTTTCCGGGAAA